GTTGCCGGCAGACCAGGTGTAAGCTTTGCATGTTTTTGTGCAACACCGCTCCCTGGGCGAGCGGTGGTCACTGGCGAGAGGGCCACGCCGTCTTGTCTGTGTAAGAATTTCCGGGACAATATGTTATCAGATCGCATCTGCCAATGGCAGTGTCTCTGACCATTTGTGCCGGAAGCTTTTAATTTTCTTTGTTTGGTGGGCGCTCTATTTTGCAACATCTCGAAGTGGGGGCAAAGCATCCATAGTCGGCAGTGGTACCGTGCTCTGCTCTTGTCTACACAGACAGATCATGCAAGCTAGTTACACCAAATCCCTGCTTCCATCAATCAAAAGTGGGTGGCCCACCTCAACCTGCGGCCAATCTTTCCGCAATGCGATTTTGCCAGCTGAATGGTTCTACCAGCTGCGGATTGCTTGAATCTGGCAATGGCCAAATAGCAGCTACAGTATCTACAGCTGCTGTGCACCAACGTGCACTAACGAGGGGAGAACTGCTCTTAGACTTATCGGGGAAAGATAGAAGTTCGTGGGAATGCGGGCTTGACGGCATGCTGATCATGTCTTGAAGCCCGTGAAGCCTTTGTATCATGCATCTTACAGAAGTGAACGTTCTGTCCTGGAGGTCATCCCAAGCATCAAGCTCCACATGCATATTAAATCACTACAGAACATCCTGGACCATCATAAGCAGATGTCCATGTCAGGATCGGTCTTGACTTGTCTGCCGGGCGCTCATTTGTCTCAGAGTTTCGGGCACAAGGGTTGGGGGGCAGGTTGCTACCGTGAGCCCGAATCCCGAAGTGATCGGCCCTACCTCATAAAGCCCTGAAGTTCATTAGAGCCCCTGAAACCCTGAAACGGTGCACAAAAATCCTCGAAGCCTCACAAGGCCCACGAACCCCAAGCCTTTTGCGACATAAATGAGAGCACCGGTATCCCCTGGCCTGCATCTCGCCCGGATCGTCCGCAGAGATGCTTGCATACACACCCGGATCCTTAGGCCCCAAAAAGCCCCAAACATAACCCTAAACCCTAAACCCTAAACCCTCGAAAGTCGTGAGAACTTCGAGGCCGCGGAGGAGCCGAAGGACGAGAAAGTCGCCGAGCTCCTCGCGAGATCAGGCGGCGCCCAGTGGAATTTGGCGACAAGAGGGCCTTTTGCGCTGTGAAAAATTATGCTTTCGACCGGAAGTTCTGTAGGATTGTACAGAGAACAATTCGGCTGTAACTGCGCATCACGGCAACTATTGTAAGTGTGTGTGTGTGTGACCAAGATGTTTGCTATCATCATTTTGTAGTATCATGACCATCATCTTCGCCATCACTATATGCTTGTGCATTTTGTCGTGCAGAACGGCGAAAGCCCTGCAAACACCAGTGCTTTGGGCTTGCTCGCACAAGGCATGATCGCTTGTGACAATGCGTCGTGTTCCAGAAATGTCAAAGATCCTTCAACAACAATCTATGCAGTCTGCAGTAGGCCGTATAAAGTGGCCAATCGCTGTCAATATTGTCATTGTCTTCGGCACATTATATTATCCCCCCCCCATGCAGCTTCGCGAAAATTAGGGTTTGTTGGTTTGGAGGCTAAGGCGAACCCGCTTGTGAGAGACACAAGGCGTCACTGGAGACAGTGCTGACCTGAGTGACGAGGGCCTCCAGATGGTCTTGGCTCTGCAAAGCGAGGCAGGATTGCCGTCGGTCTTTACACAGCTTTCAGCAGTTTCAATGGGGTTCATAAGGGTATCATAAGACTTGGTAAGGGAGGTTCAAGGATCTTGGGGCAATTCACGGAAGGAGTTGATGTGGTCTGGCTCATGGGTTAGAACCCTTCGCCCCAAACCCGACCAGTCGGCTCTCTATCCTCAATGAGGATTCGCCCATAGAGGGACAACTGACGATGAGAAAAAGGAGCTCAAACAAGCGAGGGTCCAAGCCTATAGAGCGATAGCGATAGTAATTGTCACAGTGACAGCAATAGCTATAGCGATGCCACTACCATCATCCTTTTCATCATTATCAACAACAACATTGCCACCATCATCATGTTCATCATCATCATCACCATCATCATCACCATGATCACCATGATCGCCATCGTCATCCTCATCGTGTATCGGCATCCTCATCGCCGTCTTCATCATCACCGCCACCATCAACACCATCACCATCATCATCACCCTAGTACTGGTGAAAATGACAACGATGTTAGTAGTAGTGATGATAACAGTGACGATCGCAGCAATAGCTGACAAGCACCCATAAACAATAACAACAATAACAACAATACAGCGAGTTGTAAAAATAGCAATACTAGTAACACGCGTTATAATACTCATACTTATACAAGGATAATAACAACAAAAAGTGATGACTATATTATTCGCTCAACCATGAGAAAGCGAAGGCTAATAGACGATCAGTACCGACAATACCACAGTAACAACTACGACAACAATAATAGACCACAGTATTAAAACAGTATCTTCGAGCATAAACAACTTAATATTTCTATTGGTACCCATAGACCCCATAGTAGTTAGGATTCTAAATATGAACCCCAAAAAGGAGCTACTATGGGGCCTATGGGTAATGATAATAATGGTAACGGTAAGAGTTGAAGCCAGGTGGAGCTGAGGAGCTTCCTGCTGCGGATACTGGGCAAAGACTGGCGGCAGGCCCGGCAACAGGGCTTTGGTTCTCAGCGTTTCGGGTTTAGGGTTTAGGGTTTTGGAAGTTGGGGTTTTTGAATTTGGGTTTTAAAGCTTAGGGTTTAGGGTTTAGGGTTTTGGGATTTGGGATTTTAGGGTTTGGGGTTTAGGGTTTTTGAAGTTGGGGTTTTAGGTTTTTGGGTTTAGGGTTTAGGGTCGTAGGGTTTAGGGTTTTAGGGTTTAAAGGTCAGGGTTCTTTGAGTTGTGTGAGGCCTTTAGGGTTGCTTGGGGATATGTGATGAGCATCGAGGAGGTCCAGGATGTGCATGGACAATTTAATAAAGATATGCTGTCTTTGTCCGATCGGCCTCAATCCAAAACGGACCAGGATCCAGGAACCCGAAGCAGACTCCCTAGAAAGAACAAGCTGCAGTCGAACATCTTTCAAATGGGAGTTTCCGAAAATAGGGGTACCTTAATTTGGGGTCCTTATAGTAAGGATCCTACTATTTAGGGTACTATATCAGGGTCCCCTATTTTCGGAAACCCCCAAATGAGGTCAAGACAGACGACGCAAGCCAGCAAGAACTTGTCGGGGACTCGGCGGAACTCTGGGCTCTTCCGGCAGTGCATGGTGCCTGTCCTGAGACGTCCGGGTTCAGCCTGCACCAACAGCTGCAGACAGGGCTTGCTAATGTACGGGCCTTAATCTTTATTGGGGTATACTATACTTGATGCTAGTCAGAATAATAAAGAACCCCAAAATACTGTTGGTAATTGTGTAGGTCCCTACATTACACAGTTGGCCCTAGCAGACTTGTCGACCCTGCGGGAAGCATCCGGACATGGACTGTTGTAATATAGGGATGGGCCTTAACAACTAGAATAGGGTTTGGTATATTATACTATAGCTATACTAAGGAACCCCCAAAACCCTATTTTAATTACTAAGGCCCCTACATTAAGAGGGTTGACTGTGGTCTTGGCTCAGGTTTCTTTTGCAAAGGGCGTCAGCGGAGGCGTGTGGGAAACCCTATCCGATCAGGTTCGGAGCATGCCCACGGTGTGCGAATCGGAAGCAGCTGCGATGCATTGAAAGCTTCGACGGTTAAAGGGGCTTAGATGTCCCAAGCCCATCTTTTTCCGTATCTACATGAGGGGGAAGCAGGCAAAGCCTACGTCTATCTGTCTATCACGAACTGTGTTGCTTTCGTTATCTCGAACGCGGGAGGGCGAGGTCGCTGATCTTCAACTCAATCCCTAGGGCCTAGGCCTCATGGACTGGAGAGCGGCTCCTGTGGCTGCCGGACTTAGATCTAACGTAACCCTTCAACATCTGTCTCTAGACTCTAATACGTAAGCTCCCGTCCCCGTCTTACTTGAACTAGATCGCCGCGGTGTTGCTGCAGGAGCTTCCGCTGCGTCCTTCAGCAGCCTGCGAGAACAGCTGAGGAGTCACGTCTGTTCAGCACGGTTTCTTCTGCACGGTGAATTCGGGCTTTGAGTTTGCAAACGAGGAAGCGCTGAGCACCCTATCAGGAGGTCTCTTCAAGAGACCGGCGGCTCGGTTCTCTCTGCAGCTGAGGGCTCCATGCCTCCCTTCCTTTTCCGTCTCTTCGGAGCTGCTTAAAGAACGGCAGATCCGAGTGGGGTTTCGGACCCATGGCTCCCCATGATCCCGGAAGTTCCCTCCCTGTGGACGGAGGCCCTGGATGTGCTCCGGTGCATGGGGGAGGCCCGGCTGCTGCCGAAGGCCCCCCGATGTTGTGCCGTGCAGGCGCGTTGCGACCGGGCGGGGCGCTGGAAGGAGTCCGCGTTGTTCTTGGAGCGCATGGCCATGGCGAGCATCGAGCTGGGTGCCATCGCCTACGGCACGGCTGCCAACGGCTGCCGCCGGGCTCAGGGCCTCTGGCCCAGGGCCCTGGCTCTGCTAAGGGAGCTGGGGATCATAGGCTGCGAGGTCAGCGATATCGCGATCAACACAGGCCTGGCTTCTTGCAGTTATGGCTATGCCTGGGAGCAGGCGCTGCATCTTCTGGGCCTCCTGAAAACCCAGGATCGCAAGCAGTCGACCACTGCAGCGAACACCGCTGCGAAGGCTTGCGAAAGCGAGCTGCGCTGGGAGTTGGTTCTCGAGCTCCTGGCTCCTTTGATGGCTGGGTCTAAAGTCGACGTTTTCAGCTGTTCCACTTCCGTGAGCGCCTGTGGGCGCGGAAGCCGCTGGCAAGCGGCGCTCCTGCTGTGGCAGGGCTACGACAGGCTCCAGGTGCCTTTAAACCTTGTGGCCTATGGAGCAGTTTGCAGCGCTTTGAACCTGGGAAGACCAGAGCTTTGTGGAGGCCTCCTGGAGGAGATGCGAAGGAAGCAGCTGCAGCCCAACCTGATCATTTGCAACGTGGCCCTCTCCAGCTTCCTTGAGCTTCACCTCTGGCCCGCCTCTTTGCAGCTTCTTGAGGAGATGGATGCATCCGGGCCCACGCCCAACATCGTGAGCCTGCGGACCGCAGCTGCGGCAGTGGCGCAGCAGCTCAGCACCGATGCCCGGCCGCTTCTGGGACGCCTGGGCCTGGCGGTGCTCCGGCTCCTACAGCAAGAAACCTGGACACCTTTGCCGGACCGCCCAAGATTTTCCAGCTTTGTGCCCTTGACCTCGAGCGTGGAGGCCATGGAAGTGATTTTAGAGCACGGCGCGGATGGCACGCTGGCAGTCGCGGTGAGCCGTGCCCTTGATCGTGCTTTGGCTCCCGGCCGCAAGGCTCTGCTCCGTCTTGTTGAAGATGCTGCCGCTTTCGAACAAGTCGATTCCTTGGAGTCTTTGTTTGGTTTGGGTGTGGAGGGGACGCAGGCTGTGCTGCAGGCTCTGGGCGTGGCATCTGCTTTCTGGGCGCCAGTGGCTCGTTTGCGCAGCCGCCGTGCCCATCTGGGGCTCCCAGCTGGCCGACGGCCGACTGCCCAGACGACGCTGGCATGGAGGGCTCTTTGCCTCAAAGTCTCCAATGCACAGATTAGCCGTGCTGGCAGTGCTGTGCGCTATGGTGCTGCTTCTGGTGTAGCATCTGTACTGCTGAGGCCCATCCGCGTCGAGCATGACCGTGCATTGCATCCCGAGCGCCGCGCCCTTGCCACAATTATGGCGGAGCTCATCGCTGGCCATGGGGCCACCTTGTAAAGCCCAAGGTGGCTTAGAGGTCCGTAGTAGCGATGTCCTGCGAGGCAAAAAGAGATTAAGCTTTTTCCTGGAAGCTTTGAGACATGTTTTGTGCTGACTCGTGCTTCAATCTATGTAATGCAATGTCAGTGTCCCCTGCAAGCTCTCAGCGCCTGCATCCTCCGCTCTCAAGCGTTCACCTCTGAGTTGGGTCGCAGACCTGCGTGGGCACGGGATGTTGAGAAGATTTGGCTTTGAGGTATCGAGTCCTAGCGTCCCTCTTCTAGAATCCCGTCCCGGGACCCACAGACCCTGGCCAGAAGAGTCCGCATTTTCATCCCGCAGCAGACCCACAAGCCCTGCTCTGATCATTAATTGTAGTTCGAATTACAAGCCAAAACCATAGGCCCCACAGTAGTTCCCTTTTTGGGGATACCCTATAGGATTCTATGTATAGGGCCTATGTCAGACGCCACAGGGTCTGTAAAGCCCCGTTTTCTAAGTATGAAGGCTCCTGTGTTGCCCCGAGTGCTGCGAGGAGCTTCCCGTGGGTAGAGCTGAAGCTGGGCCCCGCGGCTTTATGAACAAGGATTCCGGGATTATTTCGGGTTCAAGACTTTAGGGGGGTTCAAGAGTTTACTCGGGGTTGACCCTAAACCCTAAACCTCACAGGGCTTGAGAGGGCGTGTGGGGTTTGGAGGAGAGAAGAAGCGGGTTCGGTTTTCGGGCCCGTGCTGGGACTCATGCCTTAAAAGTGAGAACCCTAAACCCTAAACCCAGAAAGGCATCTACTTCTCTGGATCCGGGTCGACGGCTTTAGGGTAGGGCACCGCAGCATGGCTGTGTATATTCTCAGCCTTAAGCCCTAAATCCTAGAGCCAACCGCCAATGTGCGCTACAGTTCCTAAGGCCTGCATGCAACCAGAGCCCCTCAACCGAAGCCGGACAGCTTCAACCCCTAGTATCCCCGAATCCTGATCCTCCGCAAACTCGAAGCCAGATATCTTCAAAACCCTAAACCCTAAAGCCTNNCCTAAACACTAAGCCCTATAAGCCCTAAGCCCTAAGCCCTAAACCCTAAACAACAAAATCCTAAACCCTAAACCATCAACCCTAAACAACAAAACCCTAAACCCTAAACCCTAAACAACAAGGACCTCCCAGAGTTTGTCCAGGTCCTGGGGAGGACCGACTCAAGGTGGCTGTCGCCATGGAGAACGAGGACACTCTGATTCATTGGGTTTAGGGTTTAGGGTTTGGGGGTTTAGGGGTTTAGGGGTTTAGGGTTTAGGTTTAGGGGTTTAGGGGTGAGGGAGCGGCAGTTGATCTTTAACGTGCGGCTGTGGGTATCGAAGCCTGAGAGTTTCGCGACGAATTTCGCAACACTATTCGGAACAGTCTATCATTCTGCAGGGCACCTTATTTTATATGATATTATACCCATCGTAGTTTTCACTTACCGAAGCCCCACAGTTCGCGAGTTTTGGCCCAGTGCATTGGCTCTCGAACCTCCATTCTCCAAGCTCCGAAAGCCGGTCTGGAGTGTAACATAAAATAGGGGCTTTGATAGTTAGAATGGAATTTTGGGGCTCTTTATCACATTCTAGTATAACATACCCCAAACCCTATTCTAATCATTAAGGCCCCTATATTAGGGTTGTAGGCTTTAGGGAGCTCGGAAGGGTAGTGGCTTGGCTAAGATTGAGATACCTTCTTCTTTTATGGGGGGCGTCGACTCAACGCATACCTTAACCTACCAGAAGCTACTCTTTTGTAGGGTCCCTATAAATCCCATATTAGGGTTCATGATAAGAACCTACAAAAAAGTGGGTTTTGGTAGGTTAAGGTAGATCCATGCCCCAATTCCCAAGATCCTCTCAGGCAGCAGCCATGATGACACCAGAAAGCTGGATTCAAAAACCCCCTGAAGCTGATGAATCCTTCAACAGCCTCCAGTCTAGGGGCCTTAATAATTTCAATAGGGTTTTGGGACCCATTATATTATAAGTATAATAAGGAACCCCCAGATCTAACTTCGGATACCGACAGCATCTCCCATGCCGTCCCTGCGTCTTTGCACGGCTGCGCCATGCGGCGCTCCCTATTGCGGACCTTTAGCGATGGCGCTGGGAGCTTTGTTCCGAGGCCTGGGACCTATGTTGGCTTTAGGGTCTTCCTTTGTCGTTAACTTGGCTCAACTGTTGAAAAATATTTCATGAGGACATCGGATACGTTGCTGCGTCCGGTAAATTAAGTGTTGTGTTCTTTCATTTTTTTTGCAATGGAAAGGCGGTTTTGATGGGCATGGAGAGAAGGTCTTTGTTATTGAGCTGTAGAGATACTCCTGAAGAAGAACATGCATGGTGCTCGTTCGAGAATTGCGAGCAACCTGTGGCCAGAAAATGGGCCTTCCCGAAAATTAGGGTACCTTATTTTGGGGTCCTTATAATAAGGAACCTATTATTTAGGGTACTATATTAGGGTCCCCTATTTTGGGAAACCCCCATCTGGAAGAAGAACCGGAAGAAGACGCAGTTGGAATGTGAGTACAAAGTAGGTCCCGTCTGCTCCGACCGTTCAGGAACGCTGCGGGGGTTTACGGCTTGGTTTATTAACAACGGAAACCCACAATGCTCTATTTCTTGCAACTGCAGAGACTTGGCGGTAAAGAGGAGTGTTGTCCATCCAGACCAGAGAATTCGAGGCATGTGCTTGCCGTATATCTGCGGCTTTCGGGATGGCGTAAAAATCATGATCAATCGAAGAATGCGGAGGGGGACGATCTGACTGGAGATAATTGATGCGGCGAGAAGTGTGTTCTTTCATGTCAGGGATATTACTCTATAGGTTGAGAGCTAGACTCTAGACCCCACACCCAGAAACCCTTGATCATAGACCCTGCCTTGAATTTACAGCCAAATTTAACAGCAGAAGCCCACAGTCCTACGAACCCTGAATCCGAAGTTCCCTATACAAACCCGACCTCCCACAGCCCTGAATGTCAATTGCAGGCCCACCTTCTCTTTCGATAACCATCCCCATTGGTTCGTGGGCCACATGTCCAAAGGCAAGGTGCCTCGGCGACGTTCTGCTTGGGACTGGGGTTTAATATAGCAAAAGCTATGAATGAATAGAATTGTATGGGGACCACAAGGGCGTGGCAGGGGTTTCGGGGTTTAGGGGTTGAGGGGTTTAGGGGTTTAGGGGTTTAGGGGTTTAGGGGATATTATTCCTACTAGCAGACCTTTTCTCCCCATATGACAGCCAGTCCATTTTTTCGGCATGCTCGGGTTGCTTTGGATTTGAGTCCCTTTTGCATCGCGCTCGCGTGGCTCGACTGTTGTTCGAACCCTCTTCCTGGCTGTTCGTCTCATATTATATTTCATGAGATCCCCATGCGCTGTAGAAGGCGATGTTAGGAAACAAAGGGGATAGTTTCGTCATGCAGGGCTCCCTGGACACCAAAGCTAAAAACGATTGAGCAAGTTTGCAGGGAGATTTTCAGAAGGATACCAGGCAGGCAAAGTCGAAAGATCACGCCCAACTAGCCAAACGTTTCGATCCTAAACCAAGAAGCGAAGTCAAAACTAGGGTAAATGCGTATTCGTCTCAAGAAGCGGCAGATGTGGCGCCCACACATACATACTTACAGACATGCGTGTATTTTGGTATGCGTATGGAAATGTACGTGTGCTTATATACCCACCGTACACATGGGTTGTCCGAGCTTGTCGACATGCCCAGGTCAAGATTGAGCAGAAGATGAAGGACTTTGATATCTGAGCCTCAAGTACGTCCTCAGCATGATCTTTCATTTAAGGCAACCTCCAACCCCAACACTCAGACTGGAACCCGTTGAGTGTATACCAGTCCCTTTATGAGCTCTCTATGCCTCTACTACCCCACCACAAGCCACATTCCCCACGTCATCTTGGGGCTTAAATAATTACCTATAATATATTATTCTGGGGGATCCTTATTGTAGTTATAGTAGAATATACCCCAAAACCCTGTTCCAATTATTAAGGCCCCTATATTAGCCCCAATCCATTCTTTACAGGACGTGGACGTCATCCTCGAAGTTCGAGATGCCCGAGCACCCTTTACTTCTGCTCAGCTTCTGGGATTCAGGATGTAATATCAAAGCCTGAATACTTACCCATATTGTTTTGGGGGTTCCTTACTATGGTTATAGTAGAATGTACCCTAAAACTCTATTGTACTTATTAAGGCCCCTACGTTGCGGTGTTTATAGGGGTTTGGGATGTTTAGGGCCGGTTCTGGAGTCTGCTGCGGAAACTTTGGGCGTCTTCGGGTGTGGGGCTGAAAAGAATTCAGGGCGTAAGCTCAGCAAGACAGCTGGCGCACGGTTCGCAATACCCTAGACCGCAACCCTAAACCCCATCCTAAACCCTATCCTAAACCCAAACCCCTAAACAGAAATCCCTAAACCCTATAACTCTATCAACTTTAACAAACCCAAGCGGCCGAACCTAGGTTTGAGCTGACCACGAACCTTCCGAGCAACGTGCAGCGTTTGGTGGTATTGAACAAGGCGAGGGTTAGTGTGCTCTTGCATTTGAGAGTGTTGCTTCAGTTGTTTTTCGGGGCTGTTGCCGGATGTCTACAGGGATATTCATGAGGAATTATGGACCTTTAGTTGCTTAGCTTGTTGGTGCCCTCTGCGCCTAAAGGGTTTAAAACCTCTGAAGCCGTAAACCCTAAACCCTAAACCCTAAACCCTAAACCCTAAACCTAAACCCTAAACCCTAAACCCTAAATCCTAAACCCTGAAGCCTGAACCCCAAACCCTAAACCCTAAACCCGAAACCCGACCCTTGCACCCAGGCCGATCTGGTGACGCCCAACGTGGGACTGGCCATGAGGGGCCTCATCGAAGAGGCAGCTTTCCCTTTTGGAGTTTAGGGTTTAGGGCGGGTTTAGTCTCCATTGTAGTTCCTTTTTGGGGTTACCTTGTAGGGTTCTAAATATGAACCCCAAAAAGGAACTACTATGGGGCCTATGGGTAGGGACTGTCCCTACCTAAAGTCTCCATTGTAGTTAAATTGTAGTTCCTTTTGTGGGTTCATCTAGAATTAAGGTAATCCCAAAAAGGAACTACCATGGGGCCGATTTGGGGTTTAGGGTTTAGGGTTAAGGCTATAGCGATACCTATAGTCTCCATTGTAGTTCCTTTTTGGGGCTCATATCTAGAATCCTATAAGGTAATCCCGAAAAGGAACTACTAGGGGGCCTATGGGTAAATCTTGTAGTTCCTTTTTTTGGTTGAACCAATTATACATGAAGGAATTTATAAGGTTTTTTCTCCAAAAAGGAACTACAATGGAGACTATAGGTAGGGACCAAGAAAGCAGCACGAACGACACTGTTGAAACCCAGCCTCAGGCCCTAAAGCCCACACTCTGGCTCCGAGTTATTCTACCCCCCTCTCAGGGGTACAGACTGTGCCTTCAATGTTCGAGTGCGTCGTTTTGTGGCTCTCAGGCAGGGCAACCCTGTCTTCTGACAACGGCGGCGGAGAACAGGCGAGCCGGGGTGTAAGACGGGGGATCGGATTGATTTTCAAGATTATTCTCCAACCTGTACAAAAATCGTATGTACAAAGGGTTTTTATTTGCCTTCATATGTAAACTGTATACATCTTTAATTTTTTATACATACATGTACATGTACATACATACATGCGTGCATGCATGCATGCATGCACACATGCACACAAGCGCATTTACATACATGCATGCATACATACATACACACATACACGCATACACATACACACATACACACATACACACATGCACACGTGCACACGTGCACACGTGCACAGATACACACATACACACATACACACACACACACACATGCACACATACATACATACATACATACATACATGCATGCATGCATGCATGCATGCATGCATGCATACATACATACATACACACCCACACATCCATACGTACGTACATACATGCATACATATATATGTACACACACACATATATATATACACACATATATATGGTTTATGTATGTATGTATGTATGTATGTATGTATGTATGTATGTATGTATGTATGTATATGTGTATCGAAAGATAGATGCATATGTGGAAACCCACCCAAACCGTGGTCCAATTATCTAGACGATTACATGATGTCGAGACAGTACGAGAGCATCGGTAGTTTGAGTTCGGAACGGGTTTCATGGTAGTTTCTTACCGAAAGCCTGAGTTCTAGGTTATACCCGAACTGTGTGAGAGACGGTAGATCGACAGATGGATAGATGAATGGATAGATAGGGGTGTATTTGTATATATATATACACACACATAATATGTATATATATATATATATATCATTATGTAGAAGTATATCTACACATACGTACACACATACACACATACATATACAGCTTACTCCCAGAGACCTCAATCCTCACTTCGGGCTGGATTTTCGGGCCTTCCACAGTCTCGGTGGAGGGTTTATGGTTTGGCCTTTGTCGGTCTTGCCTTCCCAGGAACCTGTAAACGCTTAACCCCTAAACCCTAATCCCTAAACCCGAAACCCTAAGTCCCTTAAACCCGAAACCCGAAACCCTTAAACCCGAAACCCGAAACCCTTAAACCCTAAACCCGAAACCCTTAAACCCTAAACCCCTAAACCTTGAACCCTAAACCCGAGACCCCTGAACCCTAAACCATAAACCCTAAACCTTACACCCTAAACCCGAAACCCTCTAAACCCTAACCAGGAACCTGATCAAGATCAAGCAGTTTGCCCTGGACAGCGTGAGATCGAAGCATCCCCGTACCCTCGGAGTGATGCTGATGGTGGTGGGCCTGCCGAAGCTGGGCTGAAGGCCAAAAACCACCAACACAATATAAAAATAATAGTAATAACAATAAGAATAATATTAAGCAATATATAATCATAATAGTAAAAAAAAAATATATATATATATATAGTAGTGAGGATTCGGGCTCTGAGGATTTTGGGGTTTTGCTCACGTTCGGTCCAGGCCAGTGCGGAAATTGCAAGGTTGTCCTTCTTTCACGGCGAGGAAGTGACACTTAAAGACTGGTTGAACGACGAAAAGCATCCGAAGTCCTACCTCAACCTACCAAAACCCACTTTTGTTTTAGGTTCATAGTATCAACCCTAACAGGGACCCTACAAAAAAGTAGGTTCTGGTGGGTTAAGGTAGATCTTTTTGCATCCTTCTAGTTGTGTGCTCTCTCGTGCCCACGGTAAGGCTGACCCCGGGCCGCATTCCGTACAAGACCTGAGTCCTTAGCCTCGGACAGCATATCCTCAAGCCGTAGGCCCGTGAACCCTATGTCAACCCCGAAGACCAAAGGAATGTCGGGAAGTCGACGATCATCAGCGGTTTGAAGCGGATCGCTTTTGCTACCCTGCGCCATCAAGGGCCGAACAGCAAGCTGATGCAGGGGGTCCCACGGCGGTATTAACCATTGCACCCCACTTGCTTTCTTCGTTGATTTAAACTGTTGAATTCTTATAGGGTCAGTTAACAAATCATAAGCTGAAAATGGAGACCTGAGGTATGGACGTCTTTTGAATTCGGGCTTGTGGTTTCAGGTTTAGCGTGCAGTTTGGGTTCTGCTCGTAGGTGAAGAGAATGTTTCAAAGGCAAGATATAACCCTAA